ATCCCGATCACGAGATGGTTGGGTGGAGCTATTGCTAACTTTTAGCAGTATTAATCCTGACCAAACGGGTTACTGCTAAGGCCTTTGATAACTTGGAGAGCCAGATTAAATCAATAAATATGTAAAAACTTCGCAATGAGTTGAGCAGCACACCAGCTTCAAGAGCATGCCCATGTTTGCTAAATAGTCGACCTCTCCAATTAACGCTAATCTCAATCTGACATCCGTCCCACTTGTTGACATTCGTCCGGCAGCTGTCCCATGGACTCTTGGTATATAGTTTCGACTCTTTTGTTGGCTGTGTCAATCACCAGCCTATCAACCTAATCGTAAATACTGTCCTTTAAGGATTGCCTAATCATCCCAGGATGTGGAATGTTAGCGTCTATTGCCAGTTGGTGAGACATGTGCCAGAGGAACCCAAGAGCCCCGCCCGAGCTTTTCAAAGCATAGGATGATCCTTGACAATAGCTTTATCAGTTATTTCAGTGTAGTTTATTTTGTATCATGGCCGAAAGAACCCGGCTACAGGAAAAGGGGAATCTCGTTATACTCTGGGGCCCACCCAGTGGACCACAGACTGAATAACAGAAAATGGAACATATTAGTTGGGCCCACTAATAGCAGGTGTTAGTTAAAGTTATCAGGAGAGGGACTCCAAACCCGCAGCCCCAATTTGGTTGGTTTACATTAATTTATAGCTAGACAAAAGTGTCTATAGCTTAATTATTGTGAAAAGCATGGTCTAACAATGCAATCACGGGATAACCGGTTATCTCGAGCCACCCCTTATTAACCACATGGCATCTAAGTTAGGTCAGGGTACCCTAACCTAAGCTCACTTTTGAAAGAAAATACCACTGATATCCGTTGTGCTCACCATGAAACCTGAGCCTGGAAAATTGGAATGGGGAAGGTGAATCGCCAAAACCTATTCCGCCAACTTCCTTTAACATTGTTGGCCTATACAGCCCTTTTTGTGAATTATCCTTGTTTTAAGAGTGATAACCCGCCTACTGACGTGTGTCAAGACGTAGCTCAGCATATACCCATCATCAGGCCTGACCATAGTCGGTGACCTGACTATGTGTCCTTGGAATAAACTTCACCTTGTACTATGTCTGAAAAGGCTATCGTAATTTTTTAAAAAACGTCTATTCACTAAATCTCAACAAAGTAAGGGATCAGTAAAACCTTTTTGGCGAAAACAGCCTGTCTCCTCAGGGCCAAGCATCTCCAGGGAACTGAAGTATGCCTAACGACTGATCCCGAGATATGTACAAGGAATGATTTTGTGTCGGATAATGGTGTATTATCACTCCAGCATAATTACTAATTGGTTGACCAATTGGCTCAGCTCTGATCCATCATGGTTATATGAATTATCGCGTATGGCCTTGGTAAGTGTCATCACCCTGTGTCCCCTTTGAATAGATTGGATAAATCTAATATTCGTTGTTTATAATACAGCCACTGACTCAAGCAGTAATTGAGACCCCAAGAATGTGGGGGCAAAACCCCTCCAATTATAGCCTTGGTCATGTGGCTCTATCCACTGGTTGATCGATGTTGTTTCTATGAAAGCTGAGCTGGTCCTTACGTCAAACATCTGGGTGATGAAACCATCCACCCATAGGTGACTTTTTAAGTGTGCAGTGTATCATAATGAAGCACCCTTCCTGTGTTTTGGGCGTAGCTATATCGACTCTGGTTGCGGAGGCAAGCCAATATAATATGGCAACTCAGTCAGTCACCTAGAGATATCGGTTGTTTCTGACCTGTGTTGGCCGCCTGACAATGCATTGTGGGTACGGACAGTACCGATGAAGGCTCTGAACTCAGCCGCTGGTCATCTGGAGGATGTGATAGGTCACGGTCTTGGTTAGGCTCCCAATCAACATCCGGCACTAAGGTGAAGAGAAGAAAATTGGGTGATTCAGGTAAAGGAGCCTCGTTGATACGTGGAATTAGCTAAAGGTATAGTTTTAGCCCGCTTCGATGTTGGCTAGCAAATTGCTGAATAATTCCTTAGATGTTGTGTCGTCAGGCACCAAACTCGTGAGGGACTGAATGTTTTTAACTGCCTTTTATTAGCTGGACCCTCGTCGTTTGTTCCTCCCATATTGATTTTTTGGTAACTTCCTGTAACAACAAATCAGTTTGAGTATTAAAATCGTAGAATCATAGAATAAAAGAGTTGGAAGAGACCTCGTGCCATCCAGTCCAATCCCCTGCCAAGAAGCAGGAATATTATACACAAATCTGCCCCGACAGATGGCCATCCAGCCTCTGTTTAAAAACTTCCAAAGAATGAGCCTCCACCACACTCTGGGGCAGAGAGTTCCACTGTTGAACGGCTCCCAAAGTCAGGAAGTTCTTCCCCCTGTTCAGATGGAATCTCCTCACCATCAATAATAGAATAAAGCATCCGTAGACCCAGGACTCATTTTAAGGAATGTGGAATCCCTCACCCTGAATCCTTCCATTTATATATACATATCTAGACACATACACACGCATATATATATATATATATATATATATATATATATATACATGCCTATCTACATACATACATACAATATCAGGAGCGATTCCAGAAACTCCAAATCGCTTCTGGTGTAAAAGAACGGCCGTCCACTAGGACGTTGTCCGGGGGATGTCCAAGTGGATTGATGTTCACAATCCTTGTGGGAGGTTCTTTTTTTTTTTTTTGGATGAGGAGCTGGAGCTAACAGAGGGAGCTCCTCAACCTGACTTTGGACCAAACCTGCGACCTATCGGTCCTAAGTCCATCTGGGGGCACCTGTTTGGTCCGACAAGGTCTATTTTTCTTTGTATTTGGGTTACATTATTTTGTTGTATAGTCATCTCATAGATGGGCTAACCTTTAGTCCTGTGATAGGAAGAATTAACATAATATCAAATAACTTAGGCTATGAAGGTTATTTTGAAAGAAAAGCCTATTGTTTTTCAGGGTTGGACTGGAAGACCCATGGAGCCTTAGAAAAACTCTATAATTGGGCGGATCTTATAGCATAGTAGCCCACTTCTTATTTGGCCAATATAGAGTATTTCTTAGGTCAACAGCAGGCTATACACTATGGCTGGAAGCTCATTTAGCCCCGGGCTGGCTTGAACTCATAGTCACTGTTCAACAGCGATCACCGTGCAGAATGACTTTCATCAAGCCGAGCCACCGTCCTGGATAAGTGAATGGCTATCATAGAATCATAGAATCAAAGAGTTGGAAGAGACCTCATGGGCCATCCAGTCCAACCCCCTGCCAAGAAGCAGGAATATTGCATTCAAATCACCCCTGACAGATGGCCATCCAGCCTCTGTTTAAACGCTTCCAAAGAAGGAGCCTCCACCACACTCCGGGCAGAGAGTTCCACTGCTGAACGGCTCTCACAGTCAGGAAGTTCTTCCTCATGTTCAGATGGAATCTCCTTTCTCATCTGTTAAATATAGATGTCTGCACACCTCTATATATACACCCACTCATATATATAGACATATATATCTATACACAAACACACAACCCAGCCACATATCCAAAGATGTAATAAGTGAACACACATGCATAGTTGTGATGAACAATGGCCTTATTGTAAGGGATGACGCCCACATTAATTTTTATTATTGTTGTTGTTATTGATATTATTATTGTCAGTGTTAATATTATTATTGTAATCCAGCCTGGGGTTAACAAATAACACTGAACTGTGAAAATTGTTTTCCAGGTAGCAGGCTCTGTAGCTAGCATTCACTGGCAGATAGTTAATTAGTGAACTGGCTCTAAATTGTTTAAGAGTCCAAGATGGCCACCATTTCATAAAGAGACTGGGCTATCAGCAGCTCACAAAATGGCTGCTGGCCATGAGGCCAAGTTAAAATGGCCGTCGGCCATGAGGCAGACCATCTTCTAGCCTTGAACAAAGCATATCACATATCACCAGACCTCCATGCATTTTTACCTATACAGACCCACGTAAGCCAATGTACGTTGGAGGCCAATCAGGCCCCAGAGAGCCAATGGGGCCCCCAAAAAACCTTGTTGTCTAGAGCAATGAGAGTATCTAATGGGTAAACACAGACTTAAAATGAAAGTAAACGCTGATGTAAATATGCAGCCCAATCCATTTGGGATTGGGCTGTTTTTGTCTAAACCACCATTAAGCATTAAGGTATAGATAGGCAAACGGCCGAGGCAAATGCCAGCCGAGCAGCGCCCAGTTCACGCGCGTCCCCTGATTCCACGGGGGGGGGAAATGAAATAGGAAAGAATGAGGGGGTGGGGAGGGCATCCTCGCCAAAAATGGGGCCTGAAAAGCCAAGGCCAGCCAAATAGGGAAAAAGGAGGGGGTTGGAAGAAATGGGGCCAGTAAGGCCAAGTCCAACCAAAAGGCCCCATGGCGAGGGGCGCCACCCACCCCGGCGCGCGCAGTCCCAGAAAAGAGGGCCCCCAGAAGCAAAAGGCCGAAGGCCTACTCGCCCCAGGGAAGCCCTTAGCTACTTGCGCTTGATCTGCTTTCCGCAGACGCCGATTCCAGGGCCCATGCAGGCCTTCTTCAGGAGGCCTGCTCTTCACGTCCGTCCTCTTCGCCGTCAGGCAAAAGACTGAGCTGGAGGGAGGCTATCACCCTCCAAGCTCCGCCCCCAAAGTAGTTCCGGCCGGAACTACTTTGGGCAGGTATCTTCTTCTCTGGTGTGAGGAGGCAAAGCTTTTTCTCCTTCCTCCGCTGCACTACGGGGAGAAAAAGGATTACGCTTTAGAAAGTTTTCAAAACTGTAGTGTCGTTCAGATCTGTCTCTGGCAATGCAAACACAGAAAGGAATGTACAATATTTCTTTTGTCCTCTTGCCTTGAACATTTTTTAAAGAACAAAGCAAGAATTATAATAAAATAAAAGTATGCATTGTTTGTAAAGCATGGGCTCTTGTTCCATTGGAAACATACAGTTTCAATTACATTTCATAATTGTGTTTTTCTGCAGACTCGTTTACAAGCTGGACAAGGCTATGGCACCACCTTTAACTGCGTCCTCACTGTGTACAAAAATGAATCTGTAAGTACACTATTTTGTCTGACAGAAAACCAAGACAGAAAAAAAGAAAGATTTAAATATGAGCACTGATTAGCTAGCTTTCGTATTTTGTCATTAAGTAGTTTTGAATTGGATGTGGGATTCCTTTAAACTAGCAAAGTTTTGTATGAACACTTCTAGGGCTCTTCCATACAGCCATATAACCCAGAACATCAAGGTATAGAATCCACAATATCTGTTTTGAACTGTGTTATCTGAGTCCATACTGCTATATAATCCAGTTCAATGTGGCTTTTATACAACTATGTGGAAGGGTCCCTATGTCATCTTTTTTTTAAAGATATTTGAGGTGTATACACTAACAAACAGTATCAGGTATGTGCTGGTTTTGGAAAAGTTTGCAATTGCAAGTTGGTTTGTGCCTTGGCACAAGATGTTGATTGCATTCAAGAAAATACACCTCTGGTTGAAAGAACAATCTTATTTGAATTCTCAACAAAAACATAAATCATTAGCTTTATGATTGAGTGAACAACAACAACAACAACAACAACAACAATACTTTATTTGTATCCCGCCACCCTCTCCCAAAAGGGACTCAGGACGGCTTACAAAAGCATGTAGTAGTGCACCAAAATACACAAGGTACAGTACAATACATATAACAATGCCAATTTACATATATAGCATATAAAACCCTTCTAGTTTACATAAAATACTCAGTAAAATGGAGCAGTAGTAGACCTGCTTTTCCTTAGTTCCAGTTTTATACTTTATCAATTACATCATATCAACTTAGACACAGAAGTTACAAACTGAATTTCTCTCACCATTTGGCAATTCCAGGCATCTTCATATCTGGGATTTTGAAATAAGGTTTTTCAAAACATAGTAAAGGTAAAGGTTTTCCCCTGACATTAAGTCTAGTTGTGTCTGATTCTGGGGTGTGGTGCTCATCTCCATTTCTAAGCCAAAGAGCTGGCATTGTCCGTAAGACTCCTCCAAGGTCATGTTGCCGGCATGACTGCTAGCGCCATTACCTTCCTGCCGAAGTGGTACCTATTGATCTACTCACATTTGCATGTTTTCGAACTGCTAGGTTGGCAGAAGCTTGGACTAACAGCAGGAGCTCACACCACTTCCCAGATTTGAACCTGCGACCTTTCGGTCAACAAGTTCAGCAGCTCAGTGGTTTAACCCACTGCACCACTAGGGGCTCCCATTTTCAAAACATAGAATCAAGCATTAGAACTCTGAAATGATTGGATTTCCTTGCAATAAAATGCTACCAGTGTAATATTCTGGTTTTAGGCAGGCTTGAACTTCTATTAGAATAAAAATTGGCCTGTATATTCAGGCCCCTTCTACACTGCCATATAATCCAGATTATCAAATCAGATAATCCACATGATTTGCTTTGAACTGGATTATATGAATTCACACTGCCATATAATCCAGATCAAATAAGAGAATCTAGATTTAATATGGCAGTGTAGAAGGGCCCCCAGAGGCATTCTGTAAGTATGCATGTAATGCAATGGAAAGTAAAAAAAATAAATACCTGATACATTTTGTGGTAGGAACATCGGATACTTCTCAGAATCCGTAAGCCTTCCATTTGTGATACCTATATAGTTGTCAAAGGCCATTCTGACAGTACCATATTGTTAGAGGTCAGCTATTCTATTTCCTTTCTTCCCTTCCCAACCACCAGAGCATCTTTACTCATGTATCTCTTCAGAAGAAAAGGGAAGCCATGGGTGGAAAAAGGAAGTCAGAAAAGTGTATGTGCAGTTATTACCTGGTGAATGAATTACCTGGTTTTAAACAAAGTATGTGCCCCAACCAATCACCACTTTCCTTCTATTTTGCTAATTTATTATGACTACAACCTTAGAGAGACAAACATTTTTTCCATGCAAGGACTGTGAGAAAAAATGTGTTCTAATAAATATGTGTGAGAAATGTAGTGTACTGAACATAAATGCACCTGAAAATGTAAGATTAAAATATGAAAACAGTCACAGAGTGTGATTACATCACCTTCTTCCAACCCATTTTTATTACTAATTTATTCTATCTCATTTGTAGATTACTGGGTTCTTCAAAGGAATGTCTTTCCCACTAGTTAGCATTGCTATCTACAATTCAGTGGTATTTGGCGTCTTCAGCAATATCCAAAGGCTCATTAGCCAATATCGCTATGCAAATCCTAATCATCCACCAGCACTTGCAGACCTGGCTTTAGCAAGCATGGCAACTGGAGCAGTTTCAGTAGGAATTGGTGGACCAGTTGACTTGGTAAAGATAAGACTACAGATGCAGACTCAAACATTTCTTGCAGGTAAGATTCTACCATTTCTGTCAAGGTAACTGTTTTAATCTGTTTCAATCTAAAAAGAGAAAGAAAGAAAGAAAGAAAGAAAGAAAGAAAGAAAGAAAGAAAGAAAGAAAGAAAGAAAGAAAGAAAGAAAGAAATCAGCACAAGCCTTCATAGGTCGCAACCCGCATTGATGCTTCTGAGTCTTATTTTGTTTTTCTGTTTCTGTAGACAGTTACATAATGCCATCATGGTAATGCTGAGATATGTGATTAACCCACACATAGCTCTGTACATAATAGTTGGCATATTGCCACAAAAAATACAGGCCCTATATCCTCCAACAAGTACAATGGATATTTCCATTTACAAGGTTATTACTAACGTGCCTTGTTTTGGAGGAGCTTTGTTTGTTTTGTGTGTGTGCTAGTTTGTTTTGCTAAAAATAGCTTGTGTGTCAATCACAGCCCTTGTTTGTATCCTTGAAGGCCTCTTCTTTCTTCTAACAATGAACATCTAGAGATAGCTAACCTCTAAGTAATGTAGCCAACCTTACCTCATGCCAATTATTGAAGGAAGAAAAATAAAGTTTCATCTTGGTAGAATAGTGGTTCTCAACCTGTTGGTCCCCAGATGTTTTGGCCTTCAACTCCTAGAAATCCTAACAGCTGGTAAACTGACTGGATTTTCTGGGAATTGAAGGCCGAAACACCTGGGGACCCACAGGTTGAGAACCACTGTGATAGAACTATGATACTGTTTTGAAGTTTTTGGAATGATTTAATTGTGACAGAGCATTAACTTATTAATTATGGCAGAAGACACATTGCTATCCTGCTTTGAGGAGACTGTGTTTCTCCAAAGATTTTAGACTTTCTAGAGATGGGGACAAAAAAGCTTTTAAAATGAATGTAACGTTCATATTTAAACAGCTTTGCAATGTTTTCACAAATAATAATGATAGAGATCATGATAATTCTCATTTTGTGGGTAGGAATATGGCTTCTTAGAGAAAAAAATTACACAAATGCACAATCTGGTAGCTGCCTATATGTAGCCTGAGATCTGTGTCAATTGTGCGTGATTCAATGTATGATTTTTCAATGGAAGAAATCAAGGTAAGAGCCCTAACCTTTGTAGCTTCCCACTCACTTTTGTACCCCTCTTTTAGGAATGCCCATTTAGCATATATTTGAAAACTCATATTCTGTCTTTAGTAGTCTGAACTATCTTAACTCGTTTCCATAGGGTTATACATATCCACTTCTGCAAGCATTAAATTTTGATGATTATGCCAAAAAGTATAGTTATTATGTAAAAGCAGACCAACACAGTTACAATTATCCATCAGGGAATTCATTTATTTGACTGTTAGCCCTTTATTCAAAAGCAGCACAAGCACACACATTTTAACATAGTTATCACAATCTATTTGAGAACTCCCATAGTTGATCTAGATTGTACGTCATTTTGAAACAGGGTTTTATATAAACATTCAGCCTTTTAATCAAAACAATATTTAACAATATTTAATGACAATGTTAAACAATATTTAAGCCAACAAATTTTGAGCCCACGGTGATACCACATAAGAACATAAATAGAACTGTGCTTGTCTATATTCACGTAATTCTGCCACTTTTTCTTCATATTGACCAAATAGTATGCTACTGTAAAAACAAAAATAAGTGTTTTAATTGGGTAATATAGAACCTTATAGCCAAAATCATACCAATTAATTTAAAATGCAATACATTTCCAGCAGTTCTTGGTATACCCCCCCCCCCCAAATTATTGGTCATGGGTGAATCTGTTCCACGTATGACCTCATCACGATAGCAAATTTCCCCGTCATAGAACACATTGCTGATGCAGTCAGCATGGAACCTGCTGGATCTCATTACATGACACACAGCTACTTCTAGTGGGGCTCCATAATGGCTGTGTAAGTGAAATGTTCTGTGGCAGAGAACTCTGAACATGGGAGACTACTGATCTTGAGATAAAAAATGCTGGGGACGGCACAGGAGCAAGCCAGAAAGGTGATGGGCTCCACAATTTGCCTCACTGGCCTACGGATTCCCCCGCTGTCCCCTGCACCAAGGGCCTCCATGTGATATCCATAATGAACCAATATTCAGGCCCACCTTTGAGATGGCAGGAGAAAAACCATGTGGGCAGATGTCCCTCCATACTCATCCACCATCATCAGAGGGAACCAAGTGTTGTACATCCCCCAAGCCAAGCCAGATTCTTCTTTGGCAAACACCCCTGAGTAGTTTAAGGAAATCTCCATACTTGTTGATGCTTATAGGGAGCACTTGCATCTAATATTCATAATCCAGGACCCATGTCAACCACTTTCCAAAGTTGTGATAAAACAGAGATGATGAAAGGAAAAAAGAAGGATTTCAGTGAACATGACTAGACATGTTTTCCATTTCATATTATTCAGTACCCACAAATGAAAAACACAGAGACAGTAACATTTTAAAGGATTTTAAATTATTCTTGGAATCTGAATTTTGAGCTTGTTTTTATTATTATTATTCTACAGCCAACCTAGGGTTGAAGCAGAGGACAACGGGATTCTCAGTACAGACTGCCTACAGAGGTCCAGTTCACTGTGTTGGCTCTATCCTCCGACAAGAGGGTTTAGCGGGATTATACCGAGGTTCTTCTGCAATGATTCTGCGTGACATTCCTGGATATTGCCTTTACTTCATCCCTTACACATTTCTTTGCGGATGGATCACGCCAGAGGGATCCCATTCTCCTAGTCCCTTTTCTGTATGGATGGCTGGAGGCATTGCAGGTATGACCAAGGACGTAATCACATTAGGGTCCTTGACGCAAGGGGCAGCAGGGGAGGGGGTAGGTCAGTGGGGCGAATCTTCACCTGGCACCCCACATTGGCCGTACCACCTGCTTGCCAATCACTATGCTTTCCTGCATGATCCCACCTTGTCCCAATGATTCCTAATCTGAATATGTGGAGTCTCTCATGTTCAGGTTTCCCTCTCTTACCATGCTTCTTCAATGCAGCCAGCGTGGAGCCCCGCTGGAAATAGGGATGAAATAGGGGTGGGCTCTGTGCTAGCTGTATAGAAGAAGTGTCCTATGAAGAGGAATTAAGGTAATGTAATGAGGTCACAGCTCTCCTTCACTAGAAAGAGCTGCTTTTATATTACATTTCAGCTACTTCAACCATATTCTTCCTATAAAACTCGCTTTTTTCTGTATTGTCGAAGGCTTTCATGGCCATAATCACTGGGTTGTTGTAGGTTTTTTCGGGCTATATGGCCATGTTCTAGAGGCATTCTCTCCTGACGTTTTGCCTGCATCTATCGCAAGCATTCTCAGAGGTAGTGAGGTCTGTTGTAACTAGGAAAATGGGTTTATATATCTGTGGCATGACCAGGGTGGGACAAAGAACTCTGTTGCAGCTAGGTGTGAATGTTTCAACTGACCACCTTTATTAGCATTTGATGGCCTGGTAGTGCCTGGGGCAATCTTTTGTTGAGAGGTGATTGGATGTCCCTCATTGTTTGCCTTCTGTTGTTTTGCTGATGTAATTTTAGAGTTTTTAAATACTGGTAGCCAGATTTTGTTCATTTTCATGGTTTTCTCCTTTCTGTTGAAATTGCCCACATGCTTGTGGATTTCAGTGGCTTCTCTGTGTAGTCTGACATGGTGGTTGTTAGAGTGGTCCAGCATTTCTGTGTTCTCAGATAATATGCTGTGTCCAGGTTGGTTCATCAGGTGCTCTGCTATGGCTGTCTTCTCTGGTTGAAGTAGTCTGCAGTGCCTTTCATGTTCCTTGATTCGTGTTTGGCCAATGCTGCGTTTGGTGATCCCTATGTAGGCTTGTCCACAGCTGCATGGTACACGGTAGACTCCTGCAGAAGTGAGAGGTTCCCTCTTGTCCTTTGCTGAATGTAGCATTTGTTGGATTTTCTTGGTGGGTCTGTAGATAGTTTGTATGTTGTGTTTCCTCATCAGCTTCCCTATGTGGTCAGTGGTTCCTTGATGTATGGCAAGAACACTTTTCCTCTGGGTGGATCTTTGTCTTGACTCTCGTGGCTTGTTCTCAGTCTTGCAGCTCTTCTGATGTCTGAGGTGGAGTATCCATTGGCCTGTAAAGCTCTTTTTTTTTTTTTTTTGTAGTCAGCCTTCTTTTTTATATATATACTCTCCCTGACTCTGCTGCCTCCTTTTACTTTCTTCTGTTCATTAGCTTTTCTTTGATTTTTTTATCCCTCTACTCATCCCAGTATTCTTTCTCTTTTTTCATTTCCATATCCTCCCTCCCACCTATCATTTCTTGTTGTCCAACTCTCAACTGCCCCATCTCAAAGCATCCTTTTGTCTGATCTTTGAAAATATATGAAAGAAAGGAAACTGAACAAAACAGTTATGATTTTAATTGTAAACCTCATTCAAAACATTGCTCAGGCTACTGACTGGGACTGGTTACAGGGATCATATAAACCCCTCACATCCTGGTCCATTTCTGGGCACAATTCAAAGTGACCCATAAAGATCTGCAAAGCTTGAATCCAAACTATCTGAAAGGTCATACCTCCCTGTATGAGCCTGCTCAAAATTTAAGATATTTGAGAGAAGACTTTTTCTCAGTCCCACCACCACCCCAGGCATTTTAAGCAAGGACAAAGGAGAGAGCCTTTCCAGTGGCTGTCTCAGGTTGTAGAAATATTTCTCCCAGTAGGTTCAACTGGCCCCCTCCATGTTCCTCTTTTTATTCAGGCAGCCCTTGGGCTTATAATTTATGTGGCAGATAGGACTTTCAGCGGAGCTTTGCTATGTTTCAATTTTAGCTTAGATAGTTTTATAATTTTGTGTTCTTAACCTAACTATTTAGTTGGTTTTTAACTTTCGTACAAATATATCTTTTAACTCTTCTCAGTTTTTGCCTGTAAGCCAAGAAGAAAGGAAAGGGAAATAAACTGTAGAATACTGGGAGGTCAGAACCTGTTCACCTCTGGAATGTGAGCTGCATAGATAAGAACAAAGCATCAGTAAATAAGTTCATAAACAATTCCTTAAGGCACGTTTCAGAATATACAGGAATCTTAGGAAAGGTTGCCTAACTTTAGCTCAACTCAGTTCAGGTTTGGTCAAACAAACACTGGGATTGCATACATTCTGCTCTTTATTCAAAGTCCCGAGGGCTTTCTTGAGCTATACCGGTTGGGTAGCCCAGGAGCTGGGGTTTTCTCCACTTTTAAAGGGCATCCTACGTGCTTGAGGCAAAAATAGGCAAAATTTCAAAAGCAGAGTTCAGTTTTGGCAATAATGCACACAGAATACCACAAATGGTTGCTTTGACCTGACTCTGATTTACATATTTGGCATCTACCCTTCCCTTACTTTTATCTTCTAGTAGCATGTGTGAACCAGCCTGAAAATGTTCTTTGAAGTGACTGGAAAATTTCCTACAATATAATTTTGCAATTGCTTAATGTAGCTAAATTATACTTTAAAAAGTGCAAACCAGTTTTGCTTTTCTTCAGCTGAGAATTTTCCCCATACTCTACTTCCAAAGATAACATAGAGTATAAAGACGTTCTCAGTTGATTGTATTTTTCTCTTTAATGAGTCTCATTGTATGGACCTTTATAAATTCAGAGTCTTCACCCCAAATGGAACCCCCAATTTCTATAAACTCCAGCCAAGTTGACCAGCAATTTGATTGTAGTCAAAGCGTATTAAGGCATTTAGCTTGTAACCTTTCAAAAGTTGTTTTAGTCTGCACTAATGGGTAAGGACCCCTGTTGTTGTTGTTCATTCGTTCAGTCGTCTCCGACTCTTCGTGACCTCATGGACCAGCCCAGAGCTCCCTGTCGGCCGTCACCACCCCCAGCTCCTTCAAGGTCAGTCAAGTCACTTCAAGGATGCCATCCATCCATCTTGCCCTTGGTCGGCCCCTCTTCCTTTTGCCTTCCTTTCCCCAGCATAATTGTCTTCTCTAGGCTTTCCTGTCTCCTCATGATGTGGCCAAAGTACTTCAACTTTGTCTCTAGTATCCTTCCCTCCAGTGAGCAGCCGGGCTTTATTTCCTGGAGGATGGACTGGTTGGATCTTCTCGCAGTCCAAGGCACTCTCAGAACTTTCCTCCAGCACCACAGCTCAAAAGCATCGATCTTCCTTCGCTCCGCCTTCCCTAAGGTCCAGCTCTCACATCCGTAGGTTACTACAGGGAAGACCATGGCTTTGACTAGGCGGATCTTTGTTGCTAGTCTGATGTCTCTACTCTTTATTATTTTATCGAGACTGGACATTGCTCTCCTCCCAAGAAGTAAGAGTCTTCTGATGGCCACAATCTGCATCTGCAGTAATCTTTGCGCCTAGAAATACAAAGTCTGTCACGGCCTCCACATTTTCTCCCTCTATTTCCCAGTTGTCAATCATTCTTGTTGCCATAATCTTGGTTTTTTTGATGTTTAGCTGCAACCCAGCTTTTGCGCTTTCTTCTTTCACCTTGATTAGAAGGCTCCTCAGCTCCTCCTCGCTTTCGGCCATCAGAGTGGTGTCATCTGCATATCTGAGGTTGTTAATGTTTCTTCCAGCAATTTTCACCCCAGCTTTGCATTCATCAAGCCCCGCACATCGCATGATGTATTCTGCATACAAGTTAAAAAGGTTGGGTGAGAGGATGCAGCCTTGCCGTACGCCTTTCCCAATCTTGAACCAGTCTGTTGTTCCGTGGTCAGTTCTGACTGTTGCTACTTGGTCCTTGTACAGATTCCTCAGGAGAGAGACAAGGTGGCTTGGTATGCCCATCCCACCAAGAACTTGACACAGTTTATTATGATCCACACAGTCAAAGGCTTTAGAATAGTCAATGAAGCAGAAGTAGATGTTTTTCTGAAACTCCCTGCCTTTCTCCATTATCCAGCGGATATTGGCAATCTGGTCTCTCGTTCCTCTGCCTTTTCTAAACCCAGTTTGAACATCTGGCAACTCTCGCTCCATGTATTGCTGGAGTCTTCCTTGCAGGATCTTGAGCATTACCTTACTGGCATGAGAAATAAGGGCCAATGTACGGAAGTTTGAGCAGTCTTTCGCATTTCCCTTTTTTGGTATGGGGATATAAGTTGATTTTTTCCAGTCTGATGGCCATTCTTGTGTTTTCCATATTTGCTGGCAAATGGCATGCATCACCTTGACAGCATCATCTTTTAAGATTTTAAACAGTTCAGCTGGGATCCCGTCGTCTCCTGCTGCCTTGTTGTTAGCCATGCTTCTTAAGGCCCATTCAACCTCACTCCTCAGGATGTCTGGTTCTAATTCATTCACCACACCGTCAAAACTATCCTCAATATTATTATCCTTCCTATACAGATCTTCTGTATAGTCTCGCCACCTTCTCTTGATCTCTTCAGCTTCTGTTAGGTCCCTGCCATCTTTGTTTCTTATCATACCAATTTTTGCCTGAAATTTACCTCCAATGTTTCTAATTTTCTTGAAGAGGTCTCTTGTCCTTCCTATTCTGTTGTCTTCTTCCACTTCCATGCATTGCTTATTTAAAAATAATTCCTTATCTCTCTGGCTAACCTCTGGAATTGCGCATTTAACTGGGCATATCTCCCCTTATCCCTGTTTCCTTTTGCTTTCCTCCTTTCTTGGGCTACTTCCAGTGTCTCAGCAGACAACCATTTTGCCTTCTTGGTTCTCTTTTTCTTTGGGACGTACTTTGTTGCCGCCTCCTGAACAATGTCTCGGACTTCTGTCCATAGTTCTTCTGGGACTCTGTTTACTAAATCTAGTCCTTCAAATCTGTTCTTCACTTCC